CCTATAGACCACAGGCGAGCGCAGCCGCAGCAATCTGCTTGAAGCAATACCACACACATACCACTCAATCAATTTCTTTCCTTTGTCTCACTACTATATAAGAAAGGTGGAAAGGAGTCTGAGGTGCTTGGGCTGAATATGACCGGCCATTTTCTTTGTCATATTCTTGGGTTATCTTTGCTTGAATGGACAAAACAGGGTCAAACAGGACGTCTCCCCGGGAGATGAACAGAGTGACGGCCATAGCCATCGTTTGCTTATTGAAACATGTAAAAAAGTCAGCGAGCATTTCATTATTCCCCACCTTTTCAGTCAATGCATTGGGAGACTGTCGAATCAATAGATGGAGTTTTTCGCAGGCCTGGATGCCAGACAAAGCAGTTTGCAATTTTATGATCAAAGTATATAATTTTACACGCCCCGGCAACAGGAGAAGGGATGCCTTGGTATGAGGAGGGAACCATGGGGTTAATCAGCAAAATATCAAAACAATTACTGTTTCATGTGCTCTATGCTATTTCTGCTTGGACTGCCCAATGGCCTATGTGAACTAAGCATCGTGGGCTTCATGGAGAATGTTGGCGGTCTCATTAAATGGACAAGAAGGTTTCTGCCTCCCTTTAGTAGTGGGGGATCAAGTCAGAATAATGAGGCAACATTTGTAGAAAGCGGAGAGGCAGCCAAATGAGAGACTGAAAGACAGGAGATGAGGTGGCTTGAGGAGTGACATGCACGGTGTTATTTGCACAATATTAGGCTGGGATATGAATAAGCAAATCTCTTAGACTTTATAATATTACTATAGTTCACACGAATGACCGTCAGGGTGTCATTGTTGCGAGCCACAATGTGATCAGTGGCATTGAGTTTTGTGAGGTGAATCTGAAAAAGATCTTTGTCAAACGATTGAACAATGCAACTCGAGTGAGAGTTGAGCTGAGTTGAGTTGGTGAGAGGTTATCATGGTCACGTGCCCGGCTAGACAAACATCACAACGCTTACCTTAGGCAGCACTCACCTGTCCTGGTCAGCCAAGCCAAGAACTGACGACGAGCGGTGATTATTACGAAACGGAGACCATCTCTGTATCTCTTTAAAACGTTCCAAACGCTCTTTTTGTCCTCGGGGGTCGTTGGCGACTTTTATCAAGTGTTTGTTCCTGAGCCGTAACGATAGACGTTTCACACGGAGCAACCATCGAATCAACTGATTCATGTTGGACGGACTTTGAGGAAGCCGAGAACTTTGCGACGATCTTACCCGTGGATAATCTACACATCTCACGAACTTGAATCATCTCATTTTCTTGAAATCTCGTTTCTTTTTGATCACTCACCATCATTTCAACCAAAGACGAGGCTGAACTGGATCATCTTACGCGGGGGAGGGGTAAATTCGGTGTTGGCTGAAGGATTCATGGACTAATGGATGAGCATTTAACTGAGAAACCCGGACCTCTATCAGTATCACTATCTCTATCAATCAGCCCATCATGAGTCTCAATCTGCCAATACGACCTAGCACAAGCAGCCAGCGGAACCGGGACAGTCGTAATAATTACTTCAACAGTTATACCCCACCAAGCTCCACGGAGGCTATCAATGGGCCTGTTAGAGAATTGGTGAGGGAGCAGACACCTGTGAATGATCGCTTGATTGTGGGTGTTGATTTTGGAACTACATTTTCAGGGTGAGTACCTCAGGCTTAGAGAAAGCATGAAACTAATGTTCGTAGTGTTGCTGCCGTATACACTTCTACCCCTGATGATATAGAAATCATCAAGACTTGGCCTGGCGGCAACGGTATCACATCGGACAAAGTCCCAACTGAGATTGCCTACGACTTTCCTCCCAACGCACCGCAAGGCACTGAACCAACAGTAAAATGGGGTTTCCAGTTCAAGCCAGAGGAGTCACGTCTACGCTGTATCAAGCTCTTTCTGGACCGATCTCAAAAACTTCCCTTCTACGTCAGCCCTCTCGACACAGCCGCACAGCTTAAGCGCTTCAACAAGAATGTCGTCGACGCCGTGAGTGACTACTTAACTCAGATCTACAAACATACCATGGATACGCTCACCCGTAGGTACGGTGAGTCGTTCATGGCGTCGACAAAAGTTGAGTTTGTACTCACTTGTCCGGCTGTTTGGAGTGATGCTGCAAAGAACACTACGCTGCAGGCTGCTGAGAGAGCAGGTATGGGGTTGAGGTCTGAGATTCAAATGATCAGTGAGCCTGAGGCTGCGGCTGTGTATACGCTCAAGGCGATCCAGCCGAATCACCTGAACGTGGGTGATAACTTCATTGTTTGTGATGCTGGAGGCGGTACTGTTGAGTAAGTTTAGCAACCCCTTCACATAGCATGGTACTCACAATGTAAAGTCTGATCGCATATAAGATCATCTCGCTCAAGCCGCTCCGTGTAGAGGAGTCTGCGGTTGGAACGGGAGGGCTGTGTGGAAGTGCTTTCTTGAATTATCGATTTGAGGAGCATGTTAGAGGCCGTCTTGGTCAGACTCGCTTTGATGAGATGAAGGCTAAGAAAGGCAAGACGTGGCAAATGGGTCTTCGATACTTTGAAGAGTTCGTGAAACGGAATTTCAATGAGGATGAGCATCAGGAAGTCAACGTCCCGTATGTATACCCGCGTCCCTACTTGGATCCCACTGACCTCCGTAGCTTCCCTGGTCTTCCCGACGACGAAGAGGCTGGGCTGGACTCAGGCTTCCTCGTCATGACAGCAGAACAAGTCAAGGACATTTTCGAGCCTGTAGTTAAAGAGGTATGTGACCTTGTCCAGGGCCAAGTCACAGGCCTTCGCTCCAAGGGAGGCATTGTATCCGGCATCGTGCTAGTTGGAGGTTTTGGTCAGAGCGATTATCTATATCGTCGGCTTAAGAACCACTTTACAAGCGCTGCTCCACCGCCATACAGCGAAAGGCCTACACACGCCAATGCCAATTCCACACAGGAGGCGGGCTCCATTGAAGTGATGCAGCCAGTGTATGCTTGGACGGCGGTTGTACGAGGTGCTGTCTTGCGAGGACTGGAAGGCAACATGGTCATTTCTCGTAAGTCGAGAATGCACTATGGTACATCGTATGCTACTGTGTATGATGAGGATAAGCATTCGGTTAGTGAGCGATACTGGTCTCCCTTATGGGAGCGTTGGATGGTCTCTGACCGGATGCAATGGCATATTGCTAAGGTACGTCTCTTCCTTTCATTAACTCGTTCCCCATCCCTAATACATCATAGGGCGAGGCTCTATCACCACTCGCACCCATCGCATTCCACTACACACGCAACTTTCGTCCCGGCCAATCTCTTATCGTCACCGACGATCTCATAGCATGTGACGCGGACGAACCACCTGCAGCATACACTCGCGACCTGATCCACGTGTGTACCCTCACAACAGATCTCAACGCTGTTCCAAGGAGTTTGTTTACGAGATTGACGACGACGAGAGGCGTTGAGTTTGATAATTTAGATTTCACACTGGAGATGAGGGTCGAGAGTGCGGGCTTGGGATTTGAGCTGAAGGTTGATGGGGTCAGGTATGGAAGGGTTGAGGCCGAGTTTCACTAGGGCTTTGATTCAGCGGAGTTATACGTGAGATATGGGTTAGAAAATATGCATATATATCTATTGACTGAGTTGATCTTGGTTGTCATCTGTGTTCCTATTTGATGAAGTGACAATTGGTACATCGTAGGTTTGGCCCCAGTGGCTGGCTGGCCTCTTAGTTTCTCGCTCTCCTTTTGTTGGCTCAAGTCAATCAATACTGTAAAGACTCTTGCCTGGGCTTGTTCTCGAGTTTATCATTGTAAAGAGTTCGCCTACTCCTTTGTTCGCCTCGAGACTCGACTTGCATGGGGCTTGGCTTCTAAGAGACGCCCGCGAACTTGCACGAACACCATGTTCACCATTGCTCTCGCACTTCCAACCTTTAGAACAGATACCATGGACGGACAGCTCAGCAACAACTGCGCAATATGATGTCTCATACCACACATATAAAGCCATTGCCCATCTCCTTTACCTTGAAATCACAGAGTAAACGATACGGTCCCAAATACGTTTCAAGACAACAACTAATATTTTAATACACACAAGGTAAGTAAACAGTCAAGATGAGCTCCTACCTCAGCTTCCAATGGCCCAACCCCCAGGGCGTCTGCTGCTACCGCTCCTTCGACAACCCCAACGACCACTCCATCATCGCCATCAAAGTCCCCTGGCTCCAATGGCCCAACGACCCGCTAGAGGATGTTCATTCACCCTGGTGGGTAATTCGCGATAAATCTCTCGCAGCTGTAAGACTCTGGAAGAAGATTCTACACGACAAGCTTTCGAGTGAGACGTATCATAAGCATATGAAGATCACTAGCATTGTTCTTATGAACGAACAACTAAGACTGACTATAGATGATTTGGGGGATGGAGATGATCATTTGAAGTTGTTCTTTGGGTTTGCCGCCGATGAGATTGCAAATATGAAAGAGGTCAAGGGGTTGGATCTTGGGAAAGATGTTGTCAAGTGGATTGGAAGTGGGAGAGATGCAGTTCCTGTTTTCAGGAGGGTTAGGAAGAGAAGCACAGATCTTGTCTAAGGGGGTAAGTATAGTTATAGTTTCTTGGTATCAAACCTGTAGTGTTAATGATGTTCAGAGCCCTGCTGTTTCAATCAATACATTAATAATGCCATCCCTTGGGGAGCAAGAAAATATCAGACCTTGATAGAGGGTGTCAAAATAAACTCCGCAAAAGGTATCCTAAACTCATACTAAAGTAGCTAATAAGTAATATGCTAATTGATTCACTATAATTCGTATATGCCATGATTCGATATTTTTTATGTATTGATGATCTCCAATACGTCACTTGAAGATAGATAGATAGACGGTTTGCCCTTCCACTTTTCAAGGTGGGGCACAAACATGGACATCAACAATTCTTCAGCCTTCACTCTTTCACATTCATTCATTCAATTTGAGGATGGCCTCTTCAGAGCATGCGCCAGCCCTATTAAAATGGGCACTCTCTCAAGGCGCAACTCTCAACCCTTCAGTTGAAGTCACTCACTTGCCCGAAACAGGCCTCTCGTTCCGCGCAACAGCCCCTACAGCGCCCTCTGACACAATCGTCAGCGTCCCCTCGTCTCTGACGCTCTCATATCTCGACACTCTTCCTGGTCATGGTGACCCAAACCCTTTTCCTGCGGGGTTCTTGGCGCAAATACCGCCTCATGTCGTTGGCCGTTTTGTTCTCATCAAGCACTTTCTACTAAAGGGAGAGTCTTTCTGGGCGCCATATATACAGGCTTTACCACAGCCTGAGGACCATGATTCTTGGTCTCTTCCGCCATTTTGGCCAGATGAGGATGCCGAGTTGTTTGAGGGGACGAACATCGAGGTTGGTGTTACGAGCATAAGTGCCAATGTGAAGGGAGAATTCAAGACGGCGCATGATCTTTTGACCGCTGAATCGTGGGAGCCTGAGCTTCTCAAACTATTCACGTTGCCATTGTACCAATGGGCCTACAGTATCTTCTCAAGCAGAAGTTTCCGTCCAAGCCTTGTCCTTGGGCCAGAGGATCAGCAACGTCTGCCTGAAGGTGTCAAGCTAGACGACTTTTCTGTTCTCATGCCGCTGTTTGATGTGGGAAACCACGATATGACTACCAAAGTGGAATGGATACGGAACGAGAGGATCAATGGCTGCAGTCTCAAAGTTGAAAAGGCGTATCAGGCTGGGGAGCAGGTCTTCAACAACTACAGCATGAAGACAAATGCTGAATTGCTACTGGGATATGGGTTTATGCTCCCTGAGACGGAGGCGCTGCACAACGACTATGTTCATGTGCGGAAACGTCAGCCTGCAAAGGGTGAGGCTACAGAGGAGTATTACATATCTCTACGACCCATTCGAGACCCCAGCTCCCTCCTTGCACGCTCAAAACAAACCGTCCAGCTCAGCGATTCAGCCCATATACTCGGAGCTTTTCAGCATGTTCAGCACGACATGGTCTGGGACATATTCTGCACGCTCGCGCCACCCGAACAATGCTCGACACTTATCAGTGAAGGCTCAGAGCAAGAGCAGCAAGAGAAGTTCTTCAGCGGTCAAGTCAGTGAAGACGGGCGAATGTTTCTTCAGCAGACTGCGGCCATCATCCAGCACAAGGTCATGCAGGAGCTGGAGAGATTGCTTGAGACGGACGTGGAGGTTGTGGGCGGAGGTGACCTGACAAGAAATCAGCAGCTGGCGTTGGATTATAGAGCGAGGTGTAGAAGAGTGCTTGAGAATACACTTGAGGCTATGAATATGGAGGAGCTGTTTGGGGAGGATGACGAAGGAGACGAATAGATGCCTAGAGGTGGTTGTTGATCGGCCGCTCTACTACAGAGCTGAAGCTATGACTTTAACTTGATAGGGACTTCAAGGTATAGATCAGGATAGATCCGTGGTCATGGAAAGGATTAGGCAAATTGAAAATATGGTTTCATTTGCTTAGATTTCTCGCTTGAAGATACAAACAAACAAACCACCTGTCTCGTGGTAGGCTGTGATCCAACTCTCCATTCACATTGGCCAACTTGTCCAGTCAGAATCAGATGCATCTCCACTCTCATCAGCTCTTTATCTTGATCTCATCGCAGCCTCTGCAACATCAAGATTGATCAAGCAGTCAGCGCATTTCATATACCAACAAAGGGGCCTTTACAAGACTTGCACGATTCACGCCACCCCCGCCATCATGACACCTTCATCAGACCTCAAACTGCTCGATCTCATCACCGCCATTGACAAGTACGACCTCTCTCTCTTCACAAGACTCATAGGATACTAACAGCTTCAGTGCACCCCTCGATTTTGCATCAAATTATGCCCCCTACTACCGTCTCTTTCTCTCTCCCGACCCTCGCCCTCATGGCTTCATCCTCCCCGCCACAGTCTCCCTAATGCCATGGCCCACATCCTTCACTATCGACCACGGCAACGGCACCGTCACATTGAATGAACCTGCATCTGGCTCAACACTTACAGAGCACGCGAATGCTGCATTCCAACAAGCTGTTGATAAAGCCGTTGACGATGACCTGTTTCCTATTCTGCACAAGGAACACAGTGAGTACTTTCGTATAGTCGGCGCAAGGGAATTCGTGCAGGTCGAGAGGTTTGCTGCTCCGTTATTTGGCATTGCGACGAGGGGTGCTCATTTGACGGGCTATGTACGCGGTGGTGATGGCGGGATAAAGATCTGGGTTGCGAGACGGAGTCGTCACCTCTTCAGCTACCCTGGTCTTCTTGACAGTACTGTCGCTGGTGGTATCAAGGCCAGTGATACACCACTTGCATGCATCAAAGCCGAATCTACCGAAGAAGCTTGTCTTCCACCAGATCTCGTCTCGTCGAGCGTTGAACCCGCGGGAGCGATAACGCTGGCCAACATCAACCAGAAGTCAAAGCTATTCCACTCAGATATCATCTACGTCTTCGATCTAGAGATGCCGGGGGATGTTATTCCTCGACCGGGAGACGATGAAGTGGAGGAGTTTGTGCCGATGGATTGTCAGGAAGTGGTACAGCGCATGTTGGCGGGAGAGTTCAAGCCGAATGTGTGTCCTGTGATGATCGACTTCTTGGTCAGGAAGGGTTTCATCACGAAAGAGAACGAGAGTGACTTTGAGGAGATCCAGAGGAGGTTGAGGAGAGAGATTCCTGTGCCGATGGAGTCTGATGCATAGTGATGCAACTTGAAGATGTTGATGGTGGCCTAGAACGAATTCATGAAAGAGCCCCTTGGACTTAGATTAGGTTTCGTGAATTGGGCTGAGTCCTAGGGTTTATTTTCCCTTGTGTATAGCCAGGTAACCAGTGTCTCTTGTTACAGTCTGCTAATTACAATAGTTTCATATAAGTTGACCACAAATTTACAAGTTGAAGCCACAAGCGAGCCTCTTCGCCACAATATTGGTTGTTGAAGAATCATGGCGTGTAACAAATATCGAAAAGACAATGCCTTTGTATGCACGAACCAATCCCAATTCATTCCCACTTCTCAAGGCTATCACATCGTCTTTCCTAGTAATGTTTACCAGTGTTAGTCACCAAATTCTCACAGTCGTCGTGTCCAGGGTAGTCAAACTCCCAGCACCAATATCACACTGTTTGCTGTTTTGGCGAGGCGAGGTTCCTTCCCAAACAGTACTCCTCCCTCCCCCGTCAGCCCACCAAAAAAGTCCACCTTATCCCCCCCCAAATTTCTACTAGCAAAAGAAAAAACCTACCAGCGACAAAATCATCAACGACGAATACTACATTCTGCGATGCGATACTGAGATAAACAACTGCCTGTACTTGACATTATGGCGATATACGTCCGGTTGTTACCGTATTGGTACGTACTTTCTCCTCTTTGTCTGCTGACCTTCTTCAACCCCGCATTACCACATCAGACGGACTCTGTCGGCTTCACGCACGCCGCCAGAAGCAAAGCACTTGTTTGATACGCATTTGTCGCCATTTTTCTCTGCATTATACTCATAAGTACGAGACTATAATGGCTGCTTTTATAGCTTGTCTCCATTTTCGGCATGACTTGCACCGTTTTGAGATCTTTTCGTATTGGCATATCTCTTCTCTATCATGACATTTCCCCACAGCGTTCAGTCTATCACTGACATCTTCCTTTCCACATTACAACCTCTATGATTCACTCTCACTCCCCCAACTATATGCTTTTCTTCCTTGCTTTTTGGTTTATCATACTCTCGTGTCTTTCTGGTTCAAAGTCGGCATTCTTGAAGCCGCAGAAGCACCACCAAGCTCGGTTACCTTACACCAAAGACCAAAGACCAAAGACCAAAGACCAAAACAAACAACACTCCACTTCTGCACAACCACTGAGCTTATGAGATAAACTCAGCAACAAAAGTCCTTCTTGCGAAATGCCACGTTGTCATGCCAAAACAACCGCTTCGGAAGTCCGATGTAATTGCAGCCACGTCGTGTGTCGCAACCAACGACACAGCTTCGCCATCATAGCACACGGAAATGCTCCTCGAAAATGGTTTGTGTCACTTGCTATAAGATGACCTTCAAACGACGAGAGATCGATCTACCTCTACGCGCCAAACAAACACTCGATCAACCTCGAGTCGTTCGAGCTTCCCGGCCAAGCGCCCAGCAGCACTCAAGCGTATCTGTTCCAACATGCACATCAAAGCACGCGACAAAATGGGATAACAAGGTTTCTTATCGCTATGGTTACATCTAAAGCCACAACCACCGACAAGCGGCTCAGATGCCCGCTGCCATCCAACCTCACCTTGGCGCTTAGTACCAAGCAACCATGCGTTATCGATTCTCCTCAGTCAGGGTATCTCCCCAAAACTATGGCCTTGCCCCCACGAATCCTCAGCAAGCCGCATCGTTGCTTTCCCGCACTAGAAAGCCAGCTATTATCATATCACCCTATGTCTCTGTGCGCCAGATACTCCCTGTTGATCCCAAATGTCCATGTTCGGAACTATGACGACGTCTTCATTATCAATTCATCAGGCTTGGTTATGTCTGCCTCATCCGAGGCGGTATGCTCGAAAATTGTTCAGGCACACCGCGTCGCCCCTTTGAGCAAACATGACACCTGGTGTAGCCATGCGGCTGGGTATAATGGTGGCTGATGCTCTCCGGTCGACGAAACATCCAAGCTCCCAAAAAGGTCATACAACTCATACAATCCATCTCTCTCAGCCCGACGCCACCTCTACTCCTCCTCCGAGTCCGACTCGTCACTGGACTCGGCCGTAGGTGTGGGAGCCTGCAACACAGGTTGATTCTCGCCAGGCTCCTGACCTGGTCTATACAGGTTGCTGAGATCACGAAGCTGCGCGATTCGTTCCTCCTGTTCACGGGCACTCATGGGCTTGTTCTTTTTGGGCTTCGCTGATGTCGATGGTGCCTTCGTATGCTTAGGCGGCGCTGCCCGTGACACTTCCGGAGAAGATGGCACGTTGTTGTCCTTCCCGAACCCAGGTAACACTTTCTTACAGAGTTCCCAGAGTTTCAGCAGAGCTTCATTGCTAAGCTGGTCAATGTCTAGCTCAAGCTCTCCGTCGGTATTCTCCTACAAGGTCGTCAGCACGTTGTCACTATCACGGGCGATGCTGGTGAACTTACATTTTGGCCAGTGTCACGCTTGATGATATCGATAGCGCGGTCAAGCTGTGCGCCATCAAGATCATTGATAGCAGAAGCAATAGCGTCTTTGTCTGCCGCGGTGAGAGTCTTCTTCACAGCTTTCTTGGTGCCACTGGGCTTCTTTGCATTTGCCACACTTCCACTGGGTTTGCGGGGGGCAGATCCACTGGGCTTAGGCTTGCTCGGCTTACTGGCCTTCTTAGAGGGCTTCTCAGGATGCTTTGAGCGGTGCGCACTGAGAGTCTGTTTCGCCTTCAGAAGACTTTCTTGTACGAGGTTAACGATACTCTTCTGCATTGCGACCATGCTCTCATTGGGCGAGTCGCCACACAGAAGCTCTGTCAGCTTCTCACTTTCCTCCCTCAGCTTTTTCTCCAGGTCTCGCACTTCCTTACTGTGGTCTGCAGTTGGAGGAGCTGTTATCTCATCGCCATCACCATCGGCCTCCTCGTCCTCATCTTCCTCGTCGCTACCGTGGGAAGCAGCAGGAGCATGTGCCTTGGCATGTCTGGCTAACCAGCTGTCCTTGTCCTTCATCAAACTGTTGTAGTAGTCCTCCAATTGGGAAGCTACATACGACACAGTGTTGCCTTGGTCAACACTACCGTTGAAGGTATAACAATTGGAAAAGATCAGCCGCACGTTCTTGTCAAAGTCCTTGATGTTGTTGATGTCGCCACTCTTTAGCATACGAGCCACCTTTCCCAGATCCATGGGCTTCTTGATGATGGAGTAGTAATGGGGAATGTTAAGTCCTTCAGCATCGACTGGTTCCATAAACCAGTTGTTGATGGCGTGGTTCTTGGGGGACATCAAATCGTTCAATACCTCTTCAGAGAACTGCAGCTCAGGCTTAAGCTTCTTTCGCGAAGGCTTCGTGGTATAGTCAATATCCTTTGATTTGGGAGCACGGACGGTTCGTTTGGGACGATCGCCCTCAGTGGCAGATGAGGCACGGCGCAGTTCAGTAGCAACAGTATTGGCTTCTTGAGATCCAAGCCGCGGCTTTGACGACACGCTTTCGGCGGCGGGACTAGCGCCAGGCCCAACAGATGGCTTGCGAGCAATAGAATCGCCGAGAGAGCTGATACGTGACTCGCGGGGAGGCTTGGGCTTGGGCACCTGCTTGGGCTTGACTGCCTCTTCTTGTGGAATGGTGGCAACTTCTTCCCAGATGCTTCGAATGGCATTGAACGCAGCACCAGTAACCTCATGGAGGGTTCCATTGAAGTTGCGCGTGTTGTCGTACATGAGAACCAGGGCATCCTGAAAATCACCGACCGTAACATAAGCACCATTAATATCACGAAGGGTCCGGTCAATCTCGGAAAGGTCCATAGGTTTCTCGATCTTAGCCAAATAACTCTCAGCGAGTTGAGGCCACATCTTGGGGACTGAGTCCTTGAAATGGCCACCAGCCTTTGTCTTCTTCACGCGTCCCAGCACCTTGCGGAACTCGCGTCGTTGAAAAGGGGTGAGCGTTTGGTTCTTAAAATCGACCTCATTCCATCTGGTAAGACCAGCGAAGCGAGAAATCTCCTTCTCGGGAGCAGACTCAGCAGAGGCCGGGTCAGTCTTGGAGACAGTGGACGTAACGTCGGCAGGTTCTTCAGATTTGGGCTCGGTCTTGGCTCGCTTCGGTGCAGGCTCGTCTGTGGCATCATCCTCACGTTCGCGGGCTACCTTAGAGCTAACGGAAGTGTCGCCAACGGAGGCATCCTGCATCGACACCTCGGTGGAAGGTTTAGGGGCATCCGCTTCCTTCGTGTCGATAGCCAACTGAGATAGGCTGGTAGGTTGGACTTCAGTCTCTGAGGAGGGAGCCGCGGTATCGTTGGAGGAAGCGGGTGCCTTGTCGTCTGTTCCCTCAGCCTTTTCAGGGGTATCTGCAGGCTTGTCTACCATATCGACGTCCTTGGACTCTTTTGCGGTCGCATCTCCAGCGGGTTTCTCGGATCCGGACTTCTCTGCAGGCACAGCGTCTGTCATATCGACATCCTCCTCTGTAGCCTTAGAGTCCTCCACAGCCTTAGGCTCCTCCACAGGTTTGGCATCACTAGTGTCTTTCGTCTGATCATCACCTTCGGTCTTTTGATCGTTCTTTTCGTCCGCCGAAGGCTCTTGAGAGGGCTTCTTCTCATCGCTCGCCTCTGCCATCTCTACGTCCTTGTGGACACCATTCTCGACGGGATGATCGTCCGCTTTGTTGCAATTAACAGGCGCAGATTCAGGTGTGTCCTTTGGCTTTTCAGGTGTCGCATGCCTGATAAACATGTCAGAGATTGCTGAGAAACGATGTGCGCGTTTGCGCCATGCATCACAGCCTTACGGCACGCGACGGCACATGCAAAAAAAAAAAAAAGCGCGCCATCAGAACTGAGGGGCAACTTACCCGTTGACTTCGGACTTTTGTTCCTTCTCTACCATGACATCGCGCGACGTATTCTCGTTTGTGGGAGTGGTCGCATCGGGGGTTGGTGAAGCCATAATGGCTGTTCGCGATAAAGGCGCGTCAATACAGGTCTAGCTTAGTTGACTCGTCGCG